CCGAACGAGTTTGATAGGAAATAAATTCTCATTAATAAGTATAATGCGATTAAAAGTAACTGAACATTTTTTTAATCCTTCTCTTATTTACTTTAGGAAAATATGAATTTGTATACTAATCCATGAAATTTCACATTGCACTTTATAAATCGTTAGTGGAGTGTGTGTGGTTAACCGACACACTAATAGAGACTAATAAAGAGTGGTAATGGGTGTCTCAAAAATTGTTATTGATTAGTGGAGCACGTATGGTTAATCGACACCATAATGAGTTAATAAATGACATCTGTAACAACCCGATACTTTCCAAGTGAACACAAGTCAATCCGTTATATTAAATTTCAAATTTTATTCATGTCGTTAACTTCATAATGGTTCGAAAATAAATTAAATCAAACAAGTGATGTTTATATTAAAATTTTGGAATAAAACACTCTCGAAAAACAAGGATTTTCCCCTTCGGAACCGAAAACCCTGACACCAAAACTCTTTCGGCTGAAAACCTTTGGGTCAAAAACTGATTTCGGCCAAAAACCCATTCTCGGCCGAGAACTCCATTTTCGACCGAGAACCCAAGCGGTATATAAGTTTTTCATACGAAAACTTGATCATTTCCCACTCATTTCACTCGAAAACACTCTGATTTTACTCCCCAAGGATCATCCATGAACATTCATAGCTTCAAGTGGAAACCTTCAAATCTTCATATTTACACCAAGAACACCAAGAAGAACCTTAATATCTTTGAGTGACCGAAAACAGCCCAAAACCAAGAACCTGTGTTCGGCAGAAAACCCATTCCGACCGAAAACTCATTTGGAACGAGAATCTAATTCTCGGTTGAGCTTGACTGAAAATCCTCTCATTCATTTCAAACGATTCTTAGTAATTATTTCCAACTCAAAAAAAGTGTTTTGCGACACTTTAATTAATGGTTTTACTAATTTAAATACAATTATGTATTTAACAATATTTAGGATACAATTATTTCTGCGCGCATCAACTCGAGGGTCATCTTTCCAGTCTCGTTGTCCAGCTCACACACCTAAGCAACTGTGAGTTCATACCCCTGCAATTTCATTATTTTAATGTTTTTAGAGGGGGAATACAAGTAAAACACAAGGACTTTTTTATACAAAAAATTTAAAACATATTTAAAAAGTTTTGCAATTGATACAAACAGAGTAATCACTACATTGTATAAAAATATTCAGATATTTGTAACCCTTTTGTAACATGTCAGGCATTAGGGTAGTTTCCAACATACAGCCAAAATTGCAAAGTTTTCAATGCAGTACGCAACATACATTTAAACTATAGTTGATATAGTTGGGAAACATTACATAACTTGTATAGAATTCAATACATGAAACGAGAACATACATACAAACTATAAAAGGTATAGTTTGGGATACATTACACTGTTTTACTATTACAAGAGCATTATACAGAAAAGAACATATAAACTATGTTAGATATAGTTTATAGTATAAAACACTATTTCCCGAATACAAGAGTACAATACTAAATAGTTATTTTAGTATAATTATTTTATCATACAAGGTTCACTACAAGAAAAAGACCCTTTCACGACGCGCAAATCACGACACTCACTGATTTATGTTACGCAAAAGAGAGTGACAATAAAAACATGTTGTCTGTTCAAAAAATTTGAGGATTTAGGTCACGCATTATTGCGTGCCCTTAAATTAGTGTCTAATGTAAAAAAAGTAAAAACACGGAGGGCACATTATCTAAAACGTGCGTCCTCTGTGATTGTCGCTTTATGATTTTTACTAAAACGCGCGTTCTTGAAAGGGGGAAATGAAATCCCCTCAAAATTCTTAAATTTTTTAATACCCCACTTCAAGATCCCCTTCGTTCTATTCTTCCCTTTTCTCAGCAAACCCTAATCACGATACCATCTCTGTTCTATACCTCAATAACTCATATATCAGAAAATCATTGGGATAATTTCTAGGGCTTTTTGAAACACTCATTCGACTCTTTTCTCTCCCGCTTCCCCTGTCTATCTATTTGGTGCTCTGATATCCCCCTTCCATTTATGCCGCCGTCTCCGTCGCCATCAAAACGAGGATATGAGACAGTGCTTGATCTACGATAGTCCAGTCGCCGATGCCCGGTTTAGGAGTTGAAAACATCATTACATAAAAACTATTCTTAACCTTTCCGGACTCAGAAAACCCAATGTGGCACATCCACGAGTATGAGGTGAAGAGCGACGTCCTTTTCCTTCCCGACGTCATTGGTCCGGTTGAGCGGCAAGATCGGGAGAAAGCACCGAAAACTTACGGTACGATCGGAAGTCTGAGGTTTAGGGTACGATCGGAAGCATCAAGATGCAGATAAAAAAAGCGGAGGAGGTATCAGGTTCGAAGATTGTTCTCTTCTTCTTCGTGTATGTGCCCTAGATTTCTTTCTCTTACATTCAATCTCTAAAGATTCTTTTATTTCCTAAATTAGGTACGAAGATTATTCTCTTCTTCTCCATTTTTTTTGGAATGACGACCTCTCCTCTTAGGAGTAAGTCCTGAGTCCCCAATACTTGATCTGCAAGCTGTGACATGAGTTTTTAGTGAAGATAATGAGTAGCAGACTTCAAAACCCATTTGTTGGGGCAACTTTCCAATCTTCCTTAAAGCCAAGAAACGTGAACTGTTTGGGTTATCTTGGAAACAAATTTCCCAGAAAACCTCAGTATGATATCATTCCACGTGCCAAGAAAAACGACTGGATATCCCACGGGATTAGGTTCTCACAATCATTCGGGGAAAATGTTGAGATTTTATGGAAGAATATGGGATTAAGAAGTGGGTTTGTGGTGAAGTCCGTGAAAGAGCCTTTCACTAGAAGCAAAGCTATAGTTAGCTCATTATCCACAGTCTAGGAGGAAGGTTTGCTTCTATTCTAGTGTTCTGTTTTCTACAATATCCTCCATTTTCTGAAAGGAACCCTAGTAATGTTCTTGATCATCCAATATTTGAAATCAACTCTGAATCTGTATCTACAACCTTCAGATATGATATTGTAGCCTCAACAGGATTACCTTCAAGAAGATCACGTCCATTTTTCTGGATTCAATTCTTCCAAATGAAGAAAAGATAAAGCAATTAATCCATTCAGTTCAAAAGTTCACCCTGTTGATGCTCCTCATGTTACTCAAAGTTTTATTTATTTATATATCTTCTTAATTTCATTTTTTCAATTATAGGTGCATTGTTAGGGACATATGAAGATAACAGATTTAAATCCGAGTCAAAGAAGCCTTATCTTAAGTCAATTGGCTCTCTTAACCTTGGAGGTGGACCCGAGTTAGAAAAGAAACTCAAGTACACAGAGCATGTTTGCTCAGGGGTAATTTTGGGAAAAGAGCTTGTAAATGCACCTCCTAATGTACTTACCCCTGGTTCGTTATCCTTCTTATTTTCAATTGTTGATAGATACATAGAGTTAAAATATAGTTTTTCATTTTTCTTTTTTAATAATTGTAACATGGGTATCAACGGAAGAAGCTGAAAAGATTGCTTCAACAATCGATTGTGATAAGTTATCTGATATAGGTTCCGAGTATGAAGGGTAAGATTGTCAAACTTGTTGATAGAGACATAGAGTTAAAATAATCTTTTAAGTAAAAGATTTTGAATTTATGGAATGCTTCAAAAAAAATGTAAATAATGATAAAATCTAAATTGGATAGTTTTTTTTGTTGTTGTTGATGGTTTTGGATTGACACAGCTGATAAGCAACCTTGCATTGGTATGGGTGGTATGATACCATGGAAGCTTCATGCTACAGGGAAGCTTTTTCATAGTGGTCTAGCACACAAGGTGTCTTGATTCTTGAATAAAAAAATGTTGCTTTCGGTTTTGGTTATTGCTATAAATTTATTTGATTTAATATTAAATAAAGATACTTAGAGGTCATCTGGTTCATGGCATGTTTGGTTGACTAATGGTAATGGATGGAAGGGAATTCCAGATTCCATCCCATGGCATGTTTGTTTGGTTGCCAAATGGACGGAATTGAATTCCATCGGAATCATTTAGATTCCAACATTATATATGTTTAAGTACAACTCAGTTTTTGTCATTGAATTCCATTTCATTTCTCTTTGATATTTTCTGCATGTGTGGATTTAATTTCTAGCGTCTCTTGTAAGAAGCAAATAATCTAAAATCTGATACTTGTAAAATACCTTGAAAGGCTAATTTATAATGTAGTATACATTAATAATATATAACTTGTAAAATACCTTAAAACTTTGCTGATATAACTCATGTCATAGTTGATGAAGTGCATGAACGTTATGTCTTGGTGAGTTAGTGATATTATAATTTTGTATATCATTTATTTGGTGAGTTAGTAAGATTATAATTTCTTATGTCTAATTTTTTTTTTCAAATTTTAATTCGTAAACAGGGTGATTCTCTACTGATTATTTTGAAGAGTTTTATAGAGAAGAAATCTGCTCAAAGCACACGAAAGTTATCCTTATGTATGTATGATCACATATATGCCGAAACCTACAAAATGTCATAGCTCATGAATATTTTTATTCATAAGTTAATTTGTTTTTCAGGTCAGCAATAGTCCATTCACAGCTATTTTCTCATTACTTTGGTGACTGCCCTGTTATTCATGCACAAGGCAGAACACATCCTGTACCAACATACTTCCTTGAAGACATTCATGATAGTGTAGATTATAAGCTAGCTTCAGATTCTCTAGCTTCTTGAGATCCAATGCACCAAAACAGAAGGTATTTTACAAGTTATATATTAGTAATGTATAGTATATTATAATTATATATTGTCTGGCAAATCCCAAAGTCAGCAGTTCTAATAACCTTGAAACTTTGCTGAATGGAAATGCAATATCTGTCCTAGTGTAAGTTAGCTACTTCAATCTTTTAATATTCCTTCAAGTGCTTATAATTATGTGTTAACTGAGTTTGATGTTGCTATTACTTATGTTAATAATCTAGTGATCTTTGCTAGCAATGAGGCTAAAAAGTCTAGTACTCAGTTACTAGAAACCCAGAGGATGTTGGGTAAAGAAGGCTAAGATAGATCATCTAAAGTTACAAATAACAAACATCATGATTGATAGAAATAGTTTGAATACAGATAATAGGATTTTGTTGAAAAAAGGAATATTTACTATAATTCTGCTAAAAGACTCTATTGTAAATTGACTGAATTGCATCACTCGAGTGACATAAGTAAAGAACAACATAGGAAGCTTCTACCATTCTTATCTTTCGAAAGGGAAAAATTAGATACAACTTCTTATGATTGTGAGATGACTATTTCTTACTTTGATAAAGTTCCCGATAATGGATATCCCTATGGAATAGTGAAAATTGATGAACATCTAGATGCTAATGGTCTTGTTGATATAGTTAATTAGACCTTGACTGTAAATGAACAAATCAAGATTTTGAAAAAGACTGAGAATTCAACTTTTGACTCCCAAAACAACTTTGTTGATATCGAAGATGATAATATCAGTGAAATTGAAGAAGAAGTTGTTGATTGTTCTCAGATATCTGTCATTAATGTCAAATCATTAGCTAAGGGTAAAGAAATATGTCATGATTCGAATATTAAAGTTGACAAAGACCAACCCTATACTTTGAAAGTTTTTAATCCTAACTATGTGACTGTCAAAGATACTCAGACTGATAGTGATGATGATGAAAATGTTTCGAAAGAAACAAATGTTCCAAGTGTTTCAAAAGAAACAAAAATTCCTCAAATTGTTGAAGATCAGGTGTATGAAGAGTCAAAGAAATTTGACAAAATCATAAAAGAAAAAGGTTCACATTATCTTGAACCTAATTTTGTGGTTTATCCAAACTTTGTAACACCCCGAATTCAGAAGACCTAGAAAGGAAAGAAAAACCTCAAAATAAGGAAGTGACTTGTCGAGTAGATGGGGTGACTCAACGATTAGGAGTGCAACTTGGATTGCAGGTTAAGTGACCTACTCGACGAGTCAAAGGACTAACTCGACAATTTGGTCAGGTTTTGGGAAAACCCTAAATTCGGACTTGGTACCCTATTTAAGCATCTCATTCTCGTTTCCTCAGCCTCATCTTCACCCGCCAGACCCTAAACCCTCACCTACGAAACCCTAGTGCATCTTGTGAGTGTTTGAGCCACCTTTGTGTGATTTGTGTGCTCTTGAAGAGGAAGAAGGAGAGGAAGGAAGTTGGGGGTTCAAGGAGGAGGAAGTAGATCCAAAAGATACACTCCATTGGCTGCAATTCTTGGTAATCAAGTCTTGATCTTGGCTTTTGGTTTATTTGATCTCTTTATAGTCCCTTTTATCAAGTTTTTGGTCCAAGAATGATTACTTGGGGGATTTGGACGTCCCCAAGCAAGATCCTTTCAGATATGAGAGTGTTTAGTGTAGTTAAGGCATAAAGGTGGAAACTTTATGCCATTAGAACTCCCCATGCAAAGTTTAAGAGGTTGTTTTGGACTTTTGAGCAAAAAGGGCCATGCTTGGATGTGAAGGCAGTAGCTTTGTGTGTTATTTCGACCCTAGAATGTTAGATATGGGTCTTGGATACTTTGTACTTGACTGAAATCGTCTGAATAGAATTGTACATAGAGGGCTCGGCGAGTCAGGTCCTTTCTTGCCCTAAAACCCTTCTGTTAGAAGGTGTGAGTTGAGTTGGTAAGGGACTCAGCCAGTCTGGGTTCGTAGTGGACCTGGAGATCACCGTACTCGATGAGTTCAGCGAGGAACTCGACGAGTCCAAGATAATCTCCCTAATTTATGAAGATGGATTCGACGAGTTCAAAGGAGGACTCGGCGAGTCAGATGAAGGAGGGTCCCGATGTGTTGAAGGTGTACTCGATGAGTTCACTGAGAACTCGATGAGTGGGATCGGAGTTTAGAAGTAGTATGTGGATTGTGGGACTCGACAAGTTGGTGAGCCAACTCGGCGAGTTGAAGTCAACTCAAAGCATTGACTTTGACCAAGTTTGACTTTTGAGTGAATTGTGGTCTAAATGTTATTTTGGGTATTGATAGTTCGGGAAGCCGAAGGATCAACAATTTAAAAGTTGTCGGTTGGCAGTCATAAGTGTTTCAGCTAGTCTTCAGCAGTGCGAGGTGAGTTTCCTTTCAGTAGGAACGGGTCGAAGGCACCAAGGCCGACCCATATATGTGTTATATTAGTAGCTGAGTGTAGGCGGAGCCCGAATCTCATAGTAGCCGAGTGTGGGCGGGGCCTGAATCTCATAGTATTATTTGATTATGGATATACGTATGATTGATAGTATTAGATATACTTGTTGTCTGGGTGATACTTGTATGCATTTTAATAGTTAAGTGTGGGCGGGGTCCGAATCTCACAGTAGTCGAGTGTGGGCGGGGCCCGAATCTTGTAATGTTATTTGAGTGTAGTTATGTGCCTGCTTTATAAAGTTAGAGATACTTGTTGTCTGTGTGATACTTGTATGCATGATAGTAGCTGAGTGTGGGCGGGGCCCGAATCTCCTAGACAGAGGAGTGAGGACGGGGCCCGAATCTCTTAGACAGCAGAGTATGGGCGGGGCCCGAATATCCTAGATAGTGGAGTGTGGGCGGGGCCCAAATCTCTTAGAAAGCGGAGTGTGGGCAGGGCCCGAATCTCCATGAGAATGTGCGGGCCCCGAGTCTCTTAGTTGTATGACATATGTGTATAGTATGTGGTAGGTTGGGGAACTCACTAAGCTTCGTGTTTACAGTTTTCAGTTTTGGTTTCAGGTACTTCCGGTAGTGGAGGGAGGAGCTCGGGGTGATTGTGTGGCACACACCAAAGTAGTTTTAGCCTGAGATGTTTACTCTGATAAAATAAACAAGTGTTTTGAAATGATACTCTGATTTAATATATAAACCTTTAGCTATGGTTGAAATGATTTGATACATATGGTTTTATTAATGTATTAAAAAGAAATTTTTGGTCATGTTTTTTTGGGATGTTAAAAGTTGGTATCAGAGCCTTGGTTTGAGGGATTCAGGCATAATCACGGGTGTGTCTGAACTCAAACTGAGGATTTCGTAAGAAAATTTTCAAAAGAAATCGTTTCTATAAAAAGAACTTTGAAAAGAAAAAGGATTTCAAACAAGGAAAAAGGACTTTGAAAAGAGAAAAAGGGTGTGGTGCATGCAATTAGCCAAGCTCAAGTAAGTTCTCCCAAATTACCCATACATGTTTAGTTTATGATATGATTATGTGATCAGCATACTAGATTTAGGGCTAAGGATCTAGGAAGGATGCCTTATATGCCTGTTATATGTGTTTATTGAGCTACATGCTATTATTGGTTAGCTAGTGGTAGGATAGCCTGTTTAGGTTATGACTGATTATATGAGCTTAGATTGCATGCTAATACAAATTCTTGATATGTGAAAATGACTTCTTGACTATGTTATGGCTAGATTTTCCTTTTGTATGAATGTTGCTTGCTCCGTGCTTTGTGGGACTCTAGGTGATGGGACTTAGCTATTAGGTGAATATGTTAAGTCACATGTAATCATGGTTGAATAATCTTAGAGTGTTGGATTTGACCCTATGGCACAACTCTTGTCTGAGTCCTAACCGTTGTAGGGATGAGTCCTTTACTTGAAGGATTATCCAAGCCCTCGTTACATGTGATGGTATTCAAGTGATGGCTAATTGGCATTACGAAGAGACCTTCAGTAGCTGAGGACTGTGTTGGGTCGAAGATTTCCCTAGGTTAAGCCTATGATGATTTTAGTGCTGGGAGTAGTAGAAGTAGTGAAGGTGACATGGTGGAGTCGAAGCAGTTCTTGAGGAAAGTACAGATAGATGTGGAAGGTAGTATGGGCCCATACTATTGAAAACAGAGGATCCGTACGCGATTCAAGAAGGTCTGGGATAAAACTGGGGAGCTTGTAGCTCATATGTGTGATTCCTTAGTAGCGGTGAGTATGCTAATGGTTATTATGATGCGTTGTCGAATGGTGACCTTGTGAGAGAGACCAGTGAGTGGTCCAGGCACCGACGAGGGATCAGGCTCGGGTTTAGGAGCTGAGCAGCTCGGGGAGCAGTTGAGAGAGTTTATATCAGCTGAGATTACACGCAGTATCCTAGACCAGACTTCTGTGATCTTTGGTACGATCAAGGAGGGCATTTTGGAGCTTTTGGACAGTCGCCTTGTGTGACAACCCGAAACTTTTATCCTATGCGATCAATCCATATATCCATATTTCACTAGAATTTAGCATATTTTAGCAGAATTTTGGGTCCGCACGAGTGCTTTAGGCTTAGTATATCATAGATATGGGCCTTAAGAAGGGTTAGGAAGGGTGTTGCATCACAAAATCGAGCCAAACACACCAAGAGAGGTGTGTGCGGCCGCACACCAGACTGTGCAGCCAGCCATCCGCACACCCAACCACAAACCCCCTCCAGCCTCACAACTGACCCTATATATAGTAGAGAACCCCCTTCCATTCACTCTTGGCTGCACCTTCTCTCTCTCTACTTTCTCTCGAAACATCATCCAAGAACACTTAGAAGGCCTCAAAACGTGAAGAACTTCATCTTTCAACTTGCTATAGTAGTAAGAGACTTGAATCTAAGCTTAAAACTCATAGTGTTCTTCGTATTCTTCATCCTTTGAAGGAGTGCGGCCGCACACCTTCATAAGGTGGCCGCACACACTCAAAACCTCCTCCAAAGTGAGGGTATGGCTTCTATAATCGATCTAAGACC